AGGGTTATCTTATCCTCAAGGCCCTTTGTCTGTTTCTGAGTGCTGGGTGCACGGCTGCTTCCGCTTTTTTTCTGGAAACTGGAAACTGAAATTCACTAAAATGGACCTCGTCAGTTGGTCTCCCAACGCGATTGATAAAATTTTTTCAACAATGAGAATGGGAGAAGGGGTTCCCGGATGCCCCTCCGGGACAGGCCCAGTTGGACACATCATGGACTCCTGGATTCAGTGGAACTTGATTTGTTTATCTCAGCTGTCTGTGGAGGACTCTAAAGACGTGTGGATATTCGTAGTGTTGGTGTCAGGTTTCCTGCTCATTGGCCTTGGAGGCTACCTGGCTTACCGGAAAATTAATGAGCTGTCGAGGAATACTGGCTTGCTCCCGGAGCTCAGAGATGGTTTGCACCGTGCTGGGATTTCACAGACCCACATAACTGTCGAGATGAATCGTAAGCTTGGAACTTTGGCCGAGATTTATTCATTGGCACAAAGATGGATGCCATCAAGGATAGAGTGGACGAATCAGCACGGATTGGGATAGTTTGATGTCCATTACTGGGATTTTGAGAGGTTGACGACCAAGGAACTTTAAGACAGAGAGGAAATGATCTCTGTCTGGCCCCAAAACAGTTTCTAATCAGAATCTGGTGCCCTTGAGCCTGCAAGGCTCCAACGAACCCCCCACCTCCCCCGAAGATATGTGGAATGTGCTGTCGCTATGGCAACACAACTCTATCTCCTATCCCAGCCTGGGCGGGACTGCGGGAAGGCCGCTGAAACTTTCCAGGGTCACTGCAACCCTTCAATCCTCAATGCTCCTCCCCCTGTTCAGACTGAGGTGACATGCGCTGCTTGTAGTGGCTGCAGGAACTGAAGTGTGGATAATCCCAAACCCACCACTCTGCCTAGTGGACACTTATGTTGTGTTGTCTGAAGTCTGTTGCATTTCTGTCTGAGGTGTTTCTTTTGCAGAGCAAAGCTGCCCTCCTGGTGGAGGGTAACTCTGAAGTGCCTTTTTCCCCCTCCCCCTGAACCAATCCTCATGTAACCCTCTGATCTCTATTAAGGTAGTGCGACTCAGGGTTGCGAATGACAACAGTCACCAATTCTAGTCATGTGTCTTGCCCATGTATGTCCAGTGTTTCCCTTACATAGGCGTAGCCATGGCGGCCCGCCACGGCTGAAATCCCAGCGCCACGCCTACAAGATCCCAAGTTTTATTGATTGTTTTTTTTCTTTCTTTTTTGCACCGTTTCCCGAAGAAGCAGCAGGAACTACTCTGTTGTTGCTTGTGATCACAGCCGGCAGGCAGCAAGAAGGAGGAGGCAGGGCAGGGTGGTTACAGCTAGGGATGAGCCGGATACTCATTTCAGACGCGTATCCGGTACGGATAAAGCATTTTTGACGAATTCGAGCATGAAACAGGTAAAACTCGTAAATATCTGTAATCGTGCTGAAGGAAAATCCTCATTGGGTAACTGACTGTCTTCACGCTCTGTGATTGGCCAGTCACATAGAGCGCCCGCCCCTCCCTACACACAAAACTCTGCAGCCGGGAGTTCAGTCCGGCCCATGCATCCACGCACACTTAAACACACACGCACACACACACACACACACACACACGCACGCACGCACACACGCACACACACACATGCACGCACGCACGCGCACACACACACACACGCACGCACGCACACACACACATGCACGCACGCACGCGCACACACACACACTAATGGATTTCTCTGTGCTTGCGTCACTGTAGCTCACGTTTCTTCGGTGCTCCCTGTGTTTTCTTCAGCTCGCCTCTTTTTCGGTTGAATATTTAAAGTTACTATTTTCGTAACGTACGTGGTGCATTTGACAAGACAGAGCTGAAAACAGCTCGTGCTGCGTCGGTCACTGCCTCCGCTCCGGTCGGGTTTTTTTTTTATTTTTTATTTTAACTCCCTCTCCCTCTCACACACACCTCAATCAACATAGTTTTGTTTAACTGTGTGTGGGAAAAATGCCAACAACGTTAGGAAAAATCAGCTTAATCAAATTAAAATTTAAAAAATGTTGTGTCTGGTTCTAGTATTTCATGTTTCCTAGGTCCTACTGCATGAGTTCAGATGTATTAATCCATGCACTTAAACATTAATGTTCTGATTTTACTGAACAACTTGTTCTGTAATAGTTCCTTTACTATTGTGATCAAACATATTTAATCTCAGTTCTGAGGCTGCTCTGTAAATAGTTTTCTAATAAACAACACACAAGCAACTTCTGATCAATCCATATCAATTTCAGATTTAAAATAATGTATTGATGTAAACCACACCCACTCATTTCCAAATAATAAATAAGAGGTGCATTCATCTGTGTGTCTGATCCGCATTACTGATATTTTCAGCACCAGAACAATGAAGCAAAGAAACAGATTCCTGAGTTTATGTTAGTAATTTTATTTATCAGGTGCATCTGACCTGTTCTAGTTTACTCTGAAATAGAGTGCTTCTATGGGTTGTCTCCTCTCTGCACTGGAAACATGTACTTTATTATAATGTTCACTGTAATGCATCTTGATGTTCTTAACAAATAAATTAAATCAAAGATATTGGTCAGTAATGCCAAATATGTAAATTTGTGTTTCAGTCATTTTTATACTGGCTTAAAAATACTTCATTAAGTCCACTAAGCAGGGGTGTCGAAGGTGTTTAACAGGGCCAGCCCGGTAATGATCTTGGACCTAAATAAAAGGGCAGAAGGAGATGTTTTTCCAGACGCCAAGAAAAATTAAATGCCAAATACCCCGTACAAAGTGTGTCACTGAGAGTTTAAAACAGAAATTATTCTTGTGCAAATATTGGTGTATTCACCTTTAATACTAGTTATTAAAATGCAGCAGTTGCTGGATTGGTGCAGTTCAACGTGGAGTGCATCAAATAAAACGATATTAACATGAAGGTGAGACGTGTCATAATCCCCCCCCCTCCCCCCCCAAACCTCATAGGTCCTAAACCTCATAGGTCCTAAACCTCATAGGTCCTAAACCTCATAGGTCCTAAACCTCATAGGTCCTAAACCTCATAGGTCCTAAACCTCATAGGTCCTAAACCTCATAGGTCCTAAACCTCATAGGTCCTAAACCTCATAGGTCCTAAACCTCATAGGTCCTAAACCTCATAGGTCCTAAACCTCATAGGTCCTAAACCTCATAGGTCCTAAACCTCATAGGTCCTAAACCTCATAGGCCCCTGAACCTCATAGATCCCTTAACATCATAGGTCCCTAAACCTCATAGGTCCCTAAACCTCATAGGTCCCTAAACCTCATAGGTCCCTAAACCTCATAGGTCCCTAAACCTCATAGGTCCCTTAACATCATAGGTCCCTAAACCTCATAGGTCCCTAAACCTCATAGGTTCCTAAACCTCATAGGTCCCTAAACCTCATAGGTCCCTTAACATCATAGGTCCCTAAACCTCATAGGTCCCTTAACATCATAGGTCCCTAAACCTCATAGGTTCCTAAACCTCATAGGTTCCTAAACCTCATAGGCCCCTGAACCTCATAGATCCCTTAACATCATAGGTCCCTAAACCTCATAGGTCCCTTAACATCATAGGTCCCTAAACCTCATAGGTCCCTAAACCTCATAGGTCCCTGAACCTCATAGATCCCTTAACATCATAGGTCCCCAAACCTCATAGGCCCCTGAACCTCATAGGTTCCTAAACCTCATAGGTCCCTAAACCTCATAGGTCCCTAAACCTCATAGGTCCCTAAACCTCATAGGTCCCTAAACCTCATAGGTCCCTAAACCTCATAGGTCCCTAAACCTCATAGGTCCCTTAACATCATAGGTCCCTAAACCTCATAGGTCCCTAAACCTCATAGGTTCCTAAACCTCATAGGTCCCTAAACCTCATAGGTCCCTTAACATCATAGGTCCCTAAACCTCATAGGTCCCTTAACATCATAGGTCCCTAAACCTCATAGGTTCCTAAACCTCATAGGTTCCTAAACCTCATAGGCCCCTGAACCTCATAGATCCCTTAACATCATAGGTCCCTAAACCTCATAGGTCCCTTAACATCATAGGTCCCTAAACCTCATAGGTCCCTAAACCTCATAGGTCCCTGAACCTCATAGATCCCTTAACATCATAGGTCCCCAAACCTCATAGGCCCCTGAACCTCATAGATCCCTTAACATCATAGGTCCCTAAACCTCATAGGTCCCTTAACATCATAGGTCCCTAAACCTCATAGGTCCCTAAACCTCATAGGCCCCTTAACCTCATAGGCCCCTGAACATCATAGATCCCTTAACATCATAGGTCCCCAAACCTCATAGGCCCCTGAACCTCATAGATCCCTTAACATCATAGGTCCCCAAACCTCATAGGCCCCTGAACCTCATAGATCCCTTAACATCATAGGTCCCTAAACCTCATAGGTCCCTTAACATCATAGGTCCCTAAACCTCATAGGCCCCTGAACGTCATAGGCCCCTAAATGTCATATGTCCCTAAACCTCATAGGCCCCTAAATGTCATATGTCCCTAAACCTCATAGGCCCTGGCCATGGCCCTGGTTGGCCCATGCATTAAGGCGGCCTTGACCGTAACACGCGTTACTGGCATTTGTACAAGGTAAAATGTTACCAATTTTTTTCCTGTTAGGCCTTACATTACCGCGTTACAGCAGAAAGCGATGCATTACAGTTATTTTTTTCTTTTGTAACTTGTTACTCTCAACACTGGTGAGTCCATGAATGTTAGTGACAGGGTGACGTAGATCTGTCAGGCTTTTCTAATCCTAGAGTTTCACCGTCTGTTTTCTATCAGAAGCTAAAGCAGGAGATAGGTGTAGGAGACTATTTTCATGTTCAGCCTGAATGCAACACATCAGTGGCAGATCCCTTTCAAAAATATTGAGTAAACAATGGTTTCTCAGAGAAGGACCTCTTTAAACAACAGTAGAAACCTAGAACTTAACAAGAAGACTGCACCTGGATGGCTGCAAGGCCAACAAAGGCATGGATTGTGTCCTCAAAGGTTGCATCATCAGCCTCCAGAAGCAGGGAAGATACTGTGAGGCCGGTGTCCTTCAAGGCAGCATCGGACCGCAGGATGGAGTCTTTGAAGTAAGGCAGTTGCATGAGGCTGCGGCCCATACCTGCCCACTGGGTCCCCATACCTGTAAACGTTCAGTCCAACAGTACATCATTCACTGGTTCTCTGACTTCAGTTGGAGCACTCAGGTTTGTTGTGACATCACTCTCACATCTGTGTCCAGGGCTCTCATTTATCAACCGTGCTTACAAACAGATCTGTGCGCATTTCATGCATGGGATCGATTTTATGCATTGCATTACCAATTAGTACTTGTGTGCAGTGTTGCTAAAGTTCGTTTAAAGAACAAACTAGTTCAAAGTTCAGTTCATACATTTTAAAACAAACTAGTTCATTTCTTAGTTCATAATTTAAAAAATTTGAACCAAGTTCACTGTTCCAAAAAGGAACTAGTTCATAGTTCTTTTTCCTCATATATATGTACATATATATAAAACTTATGAAATAATTTTCCAATAGTTGTCACCCGTGCAGTCCACCCTCATACCCAGCTGCGGTTCTTACCCTGCAGTATCTTCTCAATAACAGGAGGAAAACATTATCTGAACAGTTTGTTTTATGGGAAATTATTAAACAATCTTAGGAAGCAGGCTGAGGTAGCAAACTCAAAGTGCAACATTAAAAGTGCAAAACATGAAAAAAAGTATAATCTTTCAGTTAAGTCCCGTTTCAGTTTTTCTGAATGAACTTTGACCCCTGCACACAGCATAGACGTAGAAGGGTAGACGCCGCACCAGCCGCTACTGCCACATTTGCCTGTTCTACTTTTACAAACTCTATGATTAACAGGATGTTTTAGCTAGGCTTCATCTCCGGAAAAGCTCTGTGGAGATCTGGAGCTAGAACGGTGAAAGAACGCGTTCATAAACCCGCTCACGCATGTCAGGACGAACGCACTCACTTTTACGTTCGTCAGGCAAAATACGAACGAGTTCATTTCACGTTCACGAAAAAAATGAACAAATTCACGAACAATCGTTCAATGAACGCGTTCGGGCACAACACTGCTTGTGCATGAAAATGTTCCTAAATGTAAGAACAGCTCTGAACAGCATCTAGCGGTAGAACGGGGGAACAGCAAGGTCTCAGCCATCCGCTCGTGTTCCTCATCCACAAATGATATTCAGCCAGTGTGTAGTTAGTTGTCTGTGGAAATATGGCTTTTGTGCATAATAGGGCTGCAACAAACGATTATTTGGATAATCGATTAATCGGATGGGGTCTCGACACGATTAATCGATTAATCGGATTACATGGGGAAATTTTTAAAAACTGCTAGGGAAACGTTATTTGTCTCCTTCCTTCACTTTATTTAACACAACATTATTAGAAAACAGTTCAATAGCAGAAAAACAACATGCCATCACCTAAATTGTCTTATAAAGTGTATAGACAGAGACCCTAAGCTACATCTATCTGTGACCTAAAATGCTTGGTCCAAGTTAAACAGCTTAAGGGCAATTCTCATCTGTTTTGTTTGATCTCATCTGTTAATATTTATTTTAAATGTAATTAAACATAGGCTGTGAATTAATCAAAATTGATCACTATTTCCAAAACTGACTGAAAAAATACCAAATAAAACAAAAGTAAATGAATGCCATCCTCCTTGCGATGATGCCCTGGGCAACTGCCATAAAGTCACATCAAGAAATGCTGCTGATCATTCCAATGATCCCAAATAGACTCACATTAGGCCACATGAAAGCAACTGAACCCAAAAATATATTAACCAGTATATAACTGCACTCTCACACAACACGCCTGCAGCAACAGTTAGGACTCCTCCCTCCCTTTTAAAAGCGTTTTTGCTTCTGAGGACATTGTGGTTGTAAAACCACATGCTAGTAGTCTGGCCCCGGTGTGATCAACCAGTTCCTGCGGGAATGTGACGGCGGAACCAGGGCCAGATTAACACTTTGTTGTACCCTGGGCAACAATATTCAAGGGCTCCATCATCACGACCCGAGGATCACCATAATGTGGTCACATACAGAATATTTTACTGTAATATGCAGTAAATATACTCAATACTTGAATGCCTGACAACACGTAACCCGCCCAGAGTAACCTTTGACCCACCTCGTGTGGACTGACCAATGAGGAGAGGGTCTTAACTTGAGGCCCTCTCTTCATTGGTCAGTCTGCATGAGACTGACTCTCAACTGACGTTCAGTCATAGGCAGCGAAGCGTCTCTGTGCAGCGCAAAAGCCCGGGTGGACAGTTTGTTTGATGTAGGGTGACCATATTTCCATTTCCAAACAAGAGGACAGGGGATCTGTGCCTATGACGTCACACTATGGCAACGCCACACAAACCATGTTGGGACCCATTTTTTGTAAGAACTAAATTAATATCAGATTCTGCCAATTAAAGGGCTCTAAAACAATTCATATGTAAATATTTTGCATATTTAATGCAAAATCTAATTTTTCTGCTTTAGTGCTGCAACAAGGTTTTATTAATAATAAATTATTATACCTTTTGTTTTACTACAGCATCGGTACGCTTCCTGTGCACAGATTATTAAGGATGCTTGTTTCAGCTGTGAGATTAGACGATAGGATCAATGAAAAAATAAGTTGTCACACACTCCATGGAAACTTTCAGAGAATCCACAAATAGTGGCTTTCAAATGGTTTTGTTACTTTTTGCAAGTTTATAAAAGCAGCAGATGAGACAGCATGTCTGATAATTTAGTTTTTCATCTGATAATATTAGAACATGTCAGTAATGTCTGAGGGGCTTTTATAAACACCATATAACTAACACTACTGGAGAGGGCATGAATTACACAGAGGCTTCTGGGGAGCCCAGTTATGGGGGGGGAGGGGGGGGGGGGGCATTTTGCCTTGGCCCCCAAAATGTCTTGAAACGGTCCTGGGTGTGTGACTGAGTTTTGAAGGTGATTTGAATTGTATCAGATGTATAAATATGACATGTGTATAACTTATTGTTTTTACTGGTAAAAACGTGTAGTGGAGATAAATCTACCTACATTTGACTTTTCAACACTTTGTTTTGTTTTCTTGTTTTTATTGAACTATTTTCCTGTCCTGTCTGTCTCTCATCTTCCTGCATCTCCTCATAATTCTCCAGAAAATCTGTTGCCTGGATTCTTACCTTTTCACCTCATCAGTTACTTTTGAGCAGGTCAAAGGGATCTCCTGACCGAAAAGCGCAGAGCGCGTTTTCGATGCTGCGTGAGGTGAAATCACCACAGCACAGGTGATGAGCTCCGCAGTAGCGCGCTTCAGGCACAAATAAGACAGAAAATAGAGAACATGTGCGGACATGAACGATCGTGTGCTAATTATAGTTTTTTGGTTGCGCCACTTTGAGAATGGACCGTGCGCTGGAAGCAGCTGCCTGGATCGCTGTGCAACAATGCGGAACCGGTTCACAGCAGCGCAAGTCTGCCGGCTCTCCCTCGCGCTGATCTGCCGGCTCTCCCTCGCGCTGATCTGACTTGCTCTGGTCTGCGCGCAACGGCGGGCGGGAAGGGGGGGGGGGGGGGGGGGGGGCGCTTTTGGAAGAGTTGTGCGACACAACGAATCGATGACGCAATTCGTTGCCAACGCTTTTAGTAATCGATTTTCATCGAATTTATCGATTCGTTGTTGCAGCCCTAGTGCATAACTGGTGCTAAAACTAATAAAAGACAAGTGACCAATGGGAATCTGGCACGATGTCATGGCTGATCTGTGTTATTGGAGGATTTACCAGAGCGTGCTCTCTGGAGGGAAGCGTTCTCCATGAGTGCTCTATCTTTTTGCTATGCTGGGATTTGGGACCTTTGCAGCGGGACAGATAAACGGCACAAATCCGATCCCAGAGAACGCTCCAGAACCTACTCTGCCCCACATCATACATGCTGTCAAGGTGACCAGACTGAATGGCAGAAGAGGCTGCTCTCAGACAACATTTCCAAATGAAACTAACTCCAACCAGAACCACTCCTTAGATGTAAATGAGAACCCGTTACTCTACGATTTATCCGATTCATTCCTGACGGGATCCTCTCCTCTGTCCCGACCGCGACTGTAACCTCTGCAACTTTCTTTTGCGCTTTGGCAGCCAGTGTCTCGATATTGCTGCCAATAAAGTTTTGGGGGTTTATTTTCTTAGAAAAAAACAAACAAACAGGAAAAACTGGAAGTCCCCTCACAAGCTAAGGACATAGCGTAAACAAATACGGTTAATTGAGGGCGTTCCTGTATGTGAATGACTGAGAACAGACACGAGCACCTGGGTATGCACAGGTGGGATTTATCGTCATATGATTGCAGCAGAACATGCGTAGGAAAGGCCAGGTCAGTCTTCTGACTGTTCGTACACACATTCTACATGTTGGTGGTAGGAGGGAATTTTCTATGAACGTTTGATAAATGATGCACTGCCCTGGTGTTCTAAACAGAATTAGGAAACAATGACCTGCTTGTGTAACTGCTGCGTGTGATCCCTCACCTGAACAAATGTACCACAGTGGTCTGACTGCCGCCTGCACTGGCTGTACCTCCACAGTGTCCGTCTGAGAGCCCAGAACAGTAAAGCCTCTGTAGGGCATGCTGGTTGCAGGGATGCCTGACACTCCATTCAACAGGGACAGGAAGCTGTTGTCTGTGGCATGTTCTTTCCCCTTCTGGAGCACAGCCTTCACTGCAGCCTCTGTACGGCCACAAGCCTGAAGCAGTCTAGTAAGTGGTCTAGGTACGTCGGCGTTTGTTGCTTTACCAGCTGGACGAAGGATTACATGAACATTTGAGCCTCCAAATCCAAAAGAGTTGATCCCTACGATGCCTCCTCGGATAGAAATAGGTCGGTCCACAACCTGAATGCGACCATCAGTTAGGGCAGGAATATCAGGATTAGGAACACTGAAGTGCAGGTTGGGGGCCCAAACTCCTCGCTCTAATGAAAGCACCACCTGATGAGAAGACAAAACCTCAGCTCTAAGCTTTCACATGGGTGATCAAAGCCCTCTAAACGTTCTACGTGATGATTTAGTTTGGTTTCTTTCACAAAGGTTACCCTCAACTTGAGTCGTGTTCATTTTGTCCACATACATTTCTTTTAACAGAAGCACAATGTTTTTATTTCAGTCACCTTCGCCAGTGCAGCCAGACCGGAAGCTGGCTCTGGATGGCCCATGTTGGACTTAGTGGAGCCAATAAGAAGGGGCTCTCGCTCTGACTGGCAGAACACACCGGCAATACCGTTGACCTCTTGAGGGTCCCCAACCTGTTTAGAGATTATGCAGAAGGAAGACAGTCCTGGTGAGTTCTATACCTCGCTAATTATGCAATGGTATGCAATAAAAAGCAGAGGTTGTGTACACTGACCTTTGTTCCAGTGCCATGGGCTTCAATGTACTCCACCTGCTCTGGAGCTACTTTTGACTCCTGATAGAGAGAACGAAGCAGCATCTGCTGGATGTCTCCTGAGGGAAACGTTACACCTAGCAGAGGAGAAAGAATGGAAAACAATCTTTTGTGTTTGACTGAGGTCAACTTGGTGCGGTAGTTCAGACGTTTTAAACGCTAGAACAGCAGCGAGTGGGAACCAGAGGATGGAGAGAGAGGCCACGGGCAGGGCTGGTACGCTGTAGGTCAGGCCGAATTGTTCTTCTCTGCTTTTCTACAAGGATTGGCTCAAACTTCTTCACCATGCTGCTGAGTTGTGTTGTCAGACATGAGTTCTGTAGCAAATGTGCACGTCTGGTAGTCATGGCAGCTTTTTGCGTGGTTTAGAGGGGTGAGTCGTACCAGCAGCATCTTGCCAAGCAAAATGTGTACAGGTTTGCAGGTCTGTTTGTAAAAATGACATTTATGAAATCCCAATAGCACACCCACAGTACGTTCACAGCTCTATAACCCTGTATGTCTGTATAAAGTCTGTCATGAATCACTTTTATTGTGTGTTAGGGTCTGGGCGATATCGACCAAAACTTATTTCTCGATATCTTTTTGCTGAATTCCGATATATCGATATATCGATATTTTTCCTCCTGTAACAAGCTGTCTTGAGTAATTATACACATACATCAGTAGATTAAATGCATAAAAATGTATTGATTCTTGTCAAACTTTAACCTTAGTGCCTATTCTCTACCAGTCTGAGCTTTAGAAACACTGGTACAGCTGTATGCTAACACCATGGTTAACACACACACACAGTTGAGGGCTAGAGGTGTATCAAATGTCCCACAGGCACTTTTTAATTATATATTTATAATTATTGTAAAATTATTTAAATTTCAATCCCTCTCCCTGGGCTGCCACCTTACCGTGGTGGAGGGGTTTGAGTGTCTCAATGATCCTAGGAGCTAAGTTGTCTGAGGCGTTAACAGGAGGAGCTAGGTTTGTTCTTCAATCAATCAATACTTTATTAATCCCAGAGGGAAATTAGAGTTTCAGTACACACAATTCAGAGATCAGACATACACGGGTAAAGACACATGACAAGAATTCCAGCTCTTGGAGAGTACAGACGCTTTTTTCTCCTCTCCTCCCTATCTTATCCCAAGGCTCGTTGTCCTGTCTTTATGTGTACGGCACTTTCTGCATTTTTTCTGGAAACTGGAAATGATTACAAATGGACCTGGTCAGTTGGTCTCTCAACGCGATAGACAACATTTTTTCAACGATGAGAACGGGAGAAGGGGCTCCCGGATGCCCCTCTGGGACAGAGCCAGCTGGGTATATCATGGACTCCTGGAAACAGTAGAACCTGATCTGCCTCTCCCAACTGTCTGTAGACGATTCTGAAGATGTGTGGATATTCGTCGTTTTGGTGTCGGGTTTCCTGCTGTTTGGCATGAGCAGTTACCTGGCTTACCGGAAAATAAACGAGCTTTCGAGGAATATTGGCTCAATCCCGGAGCTCAGGGATGGATTACACCTCACTGTGAACGCACAAACTCATATAATTGTTGAGATGAGTCGTAAGCTTGGAACTTTGGCTGAGATTCAGGCTCTGGCACAGAAGGTGGATACCATCAAGGAGCGAGTGGACGGATCAACACAAATTGGGATAGATTAATTATGTCATTATTGGATCTAGAGGGGTTGAAGACCAACAGAACACTAATGCAGAGAGGAAATTATCTCTGTCTGTCCCCAAAACACTTTTCGTCTGAATCTGGTGCCCTTGGAGCCTGTGGGGCTGACGTGGTAACTCCCCCCTCAGAAGAAATGTCGAATGCTGCTGTTGCTATGGAAACTCTTTCTCCCTACCCCAGCCTGGGCGGGACTGTGACCGGTGAAGGCCGTGGAACCGTATCTAGGAGTCCCAGTGCTCTCTAACCCATTATCTCCCTCCCCTGTCCAAATGGAGGTGATGAGCGCTGCCCCATGTGGCTGCACGCACTGAAGTGAGGAGAGTCCCAACCCTACCCCTCGACCTAGTGGACACTTATGTTGTGTAATGTCAGAAGTCTGTGAGCATATCTGTCTGAGGTGTTTTTTGCATAGCAAAGCTGCCCTCCCTGTGGAGGGTAACTCTGAAGTGCCTTTTTTTTCCTCCCCTTGACTCTATCCTCATGTAAACTCTCTTGATCTATTACGGTAGCACAACTCGGGTTGCGAATGACCACAGTCACCAATTCTTGTCATGTCTGATCTCAGGATTGTGTGTACTGAAGCTCTAATTTCCCTCTGGGATTAATAAAGTATTTTTGAAATGAATTTGAATTGAATGCCTCTGGTAGGGTCACCCATGGCAAACAGGTCCTAGGTGAGGGATCCGACAAAGAGCAGCCCGAAGACCTCTTATGATGAATTATATAAATGGAAACCGTGTTTCCTCGCCCGGACGTGGGTCACAGGGGCCCCCTTCTGGAGCCAGGCCTGGAGGTGGGGCACGTTGGCGAGCGCCTGGTGGCCGGGTTTTCACCCATGGCGCCCGGCCGGGCACAGCCCGAAGAGGAAACATGGGTCCTCCTTCCCATGGGCTCACCACTAGTGGGAGGGGCCAAAGGGGTCAGGTGCAGTGTGTGATGGGTGGTAGTCGAGGGCGGGAACCTTGGCGGTCTAATCCTCGGCTACAGAAGCTGGCTCTAGGCGTGAGATTGCTAGGTGGATTGGTGCTGCATCTGCAGTGATGTGGGCGTTGTACCGGTCTGTCGTGGTGAAGAGAGAGCTGAGTCAGAAGGCGACGCTCTCGATTTACCGGTCGATCTACGTTCCTACCCTCACCTATGGTCATGAGCTTTGGGTAGTGACCGTAAGAACGAGATCGAGGATACAAGCGGCCAAAATGAGTTTTCTCCGAAGAGTGGCTGGGCTCTCCCTTAGAGAAAGGGTGAGAAGCTCGGACATTCGGGAGGGGCTTGGATAAATCCGCTGCTCCTCCACATCGAGAGGAGCCAGTTGAGATGGTTCGGGCATCTGGTCAGGATGCCTCCTGGATGCCTCCCTGGTGAGGTTTTCCAGGCACGTCCAACCGGGAGGAGACCTAAAGGTAGACCCAGGACACGGTGGAGGGACTATGTCTCTCACCTGGCCAGAGAACGCTTTGGGATTCCCCCGGAGGAGCTGGCCCAAGTGGCTGGGGAGAGGGAAGTCTGGGCCTCTCGCCTTAGGCTGCTGCCCCGGACAAGCAGATGAAAATGGATGGATGGATGATTTAAATTTCATCTAGAGGTGACCCATATTGCATATGTCTTATCCAGAGAAAATAAATCTATCATGTTAAACTAAATGTATGATGTGATGTAATTGCATCTACTGAAGGTCTCATGGGTCATGCACCGTGGAGTTATTAGTTATCAGAGTCTAACAGTGTTGGCTCATATCAGCGATTATACTGTAATGACTCAGTCTCTGGTTGCTCTTTTATCAGTATTATTTTTGGGCTACTGTCGCCGTAACCCACGCCTTACAAACTCTTAATTTTTTCAACAGAATCACTCGTAACGGAACAACATTTCTCACCCGTTGAGCTCGCCTTCAAAATAAAACGTTAACCCTATAGTTTAATATGTTTGTTTGGCCACAGAGGATTGTTGCTTCCTGGGTTTTGGTGAGAAGTCGCTCTGTGTTGTTGGTTTTAAGGTCACAATATTAACAGTATTAATTAGGTTTATTAATTGTGAACTTTGTGGTTAGTTTAGTTGTTTCAGTTAGACTAGGCGGTTTTTCTCCTCTCTCCGGTTAAACCGAAAAGAGTCGCTTTATGTTCATCACTAACGTATTTTCCAGAGTATAAGTCGCACCAGCCATAAAATGCATAATGAAGAAGAAAAAAGCATATATAAGTCGCACTGGACTATAAGTTGCATTTTGGGGGGAACTTTTATTATTTGTCTTACAAAATCTGACACCAAGCATTTCACATTGCAAGACAAGTACCGGTAACAATGACAGAATAAACAACCAGGGCGCAGCAGCTCGCCACGGTCTCCAGCAGGTGATGGCGGGGCAGAGGGGCTTATTCCTGGTCCGGAGCCGGTCCGCAGCAGCGCGGTATACATAATTTGGTATATAGGTCGCAGGACCAGCCAGACTATGAAAAAAGTGCGGCTTATAGTCCGGAAAATACGGTATTTGGATTTTCTCCTCCCTGATTTAGTAAGAGGGAGTCCTTTTTAGTAGTGTACATTTTTGTAAAGCTGAGTAACCTTCATTTGTTAAGTAAACCTTTTGAACGGCCATCTGACAGCCTTTTCCCTCATTTTACCTCCATCCAGTCCTGACAATATAACCCTAACCCACCCCTAGACCGCCTGAGGGGATGTCACATAATGGGGGCTCGTCTGGAATCTTAAAATTAATTGTACTGTATTTTAATGATGTGTTTATTGGTTTTAAACATCCAGTGAAGGACTTTTAACTGGCATGTGTTTTCAAACTGTCTTCATTTGTAGGATTTTACACCATAACCAGGTTTCCTTTGTCTTCCATGAGTATGTCCTTTTATCTTTATGATTTTGTATTTAGTGGATGAATTCCATTCTAGGCTCTAGAGGCTCCTCTGTTTCAGGTTGGACCCGTTTGCTGTTTTTGTAGGGTCGGGGTCATGGAGGTTAGCGTTGGTGGACATTCCACCCTCTCGGGAGCACCCCAGGGAGTTGGAGAGGTGGGCTCTCCTCCTCACTGGTCCGTTTGTGCTTAATCAGCCCATTTCTACGCCCAATGACGACTAGGGTTTAGTTTAGCCAGATATCCCCATAATAGCTAAAGGGAATGCTTGTACAACAAAGGACTTTGATATAAAAGACATCTGCTGACAGATGGGAAGGAAATTGAAAGAAAGAAATATTTTTGATGGTGCTTGCATAAATGTTTTTCTTTCTTTTAAGGAAGGGGGCATTACAGCTGGTGCCTTTTTGCCCTGGGATGGGAGCTCAGGACATTAAATGCTGCCATCTCCTACCTCCACAAAGGTACAGCAAGCATGACACCTCTCCTCCTCCTCCCTTTCTGCTTCAACACCTGGGCCCAATCAGCTCATCAGCGCCAGTGTAGCTTAAAAGAGGAGCTGCTGGACTGAGGTCCTGTCCACACGTAGCCGGGGATCTGCCAAAACGTAGATATTTTTCTACGTTTTGGCCTGTCATCCACACGAAAACGGAGTTTTTTCACACGAAAACGGATCTTTTTAAAAACTCCGGCCAAAGTGAAGATCTGCGTTTTCTCCGTTTTGGGTGTCTGCGTGTGGACGGACAAAACCGAAGTTTTAAGGTCCGCAACGTCACTTTCCGCGACAAAAAATGCTGACATCACGTGTGCGGCCTGTGTTTACACTAGCCGACAGCATGGACGCACTCAGAGCTGCGCTCGCTTTATCAATCGTCCAAGCGCTTTCTGCTTGTTTGTTGTTGCAAGAGGAATTACTGCTCCTGGCGGAAGACCACAGACGAAGGACGAGGTTAAGAACGGGGGAAGTACTGCCCCCTACAGGTCTGGCATGTCCTTAACAACGTATTTATCCGGGTACGTGTGGACAGAGTTTTTTAAACGAGGTGGTGTGGATGCAAGTTTCTGGAGGGGCGGATATTCGTTTTTTAAAAACCCGGCTACGTGTGGACTAGGCCTGAGATGCAGACAGAAAGAAAGACCGGATCCGTGCCATGTCTTATCGCTGGCTCGGTTGGTGTTTTAAAGGTTTTTGTGGTTTTAGTCAGGCTGTTATTAATGGCTAAAAGCAAGAGTGCTTATAAATTATAAAACAGATGAGGGATCAGAGTGCTGGCTCCCTCTTGAGTTAGGGTTAGTGAGTATGGTCAGTGGACCTTGTGTGTTGTGTTTGGGAGCATTTTAGATGTCTGTTTTAATTGAGAATCCTCATTTTAAAAATGTCACCACTAGCCTTTTTAATACTGACCCATTAATGGAGCCTTGTATTTTAAAATCTTTATTTATAATAAAAGCATTGTTTGATATTTCTGCACACACTTCTGTGTCCTTCATTTTAAACACCAACCCTGGTCGAAACTTCCTTAATCATTTATTTAAAACTACTATTTGATGCTTAATGAATCTATATTTTACTTTATTTTATGTAATTATTAGGGTTAAATGGATACTCTGATATTTCCATTTTCACCGTATACATGTTCTTCTCTGATAGAGTTCTTCTAAGAGTGTTTAATAAATAAACCTGGACTCAACCTGAACAGTTTTAAGTGCTGACACTCACTCGTGTGACCTGTTTCTACTTAGTTGTGACTGAAAATCGTTGTCAAAGCCGTGTGAACAGACACGTCATACATTTGTCTGAGAGCTAGTCCTAAACCTCTGTCTAAACTCAGGTACACAGATGTGCAACAGCTGTCTGTGTCTTTGTGTTGTTCCGCTGGGGGATGACTTCGATGAACACATGAAGCTGAAGATGAACTTGTCTCCCTACCCTGCTCCTTGTACCCATCAGTGTTGCTTCCAGCATTGATCATGGTTGCGTAGACTCTTCTGGCCGCTGATCTCTTGGTCAACAGTACCGCGACGGCTGCTTCAGAGCGGCAGTACCCATTTCCTGAACAACAGTACAAGAATCAGTAATCAAACACATCCACTTAATATTTCATTACAGTACAACAGAACAGAACCTATAAGGTTTATTGATCCCACAGTGGGGAAGTTCACTCGTTACGGCAGCACCAACACTTAAGAGGATAATTTGAGG